CAGACCCCAGCAGCCTCCTAGTCACAGCATCAGGCAGTGATCTTACCTCCCTGCCCTGGCCCAAATGCCATCCATTCAGCCAGCTCTGCCCCCCTCCCCGCCTTTAATGCGCAGATGGGGGGTGGAAACAGCCTTTATTTACATCTCACGGCAGTGGCAGGGAGCTCACAGTCACTCACAAGGGGTCTGGATCCAGGTCTCCTTCCCCCCCCCCCCCCCCCCCCCAAAGGCTGGGAGAAGGCAGCAGGCTCCTGTGGGCAAGGGGGGCTTCCACCCCAGCCCAGTTAACTGAGAAGGGGTGAGGAGTGTGGGACAGAGCCTCTGCCAGGCCCCCGGGCCTACTGACCATCCCTAGCTAGGGCTGCCCCGGGGGCTCAGGGAGAGGCTAGCCCTTGGTTTTAAGTTGGAGGCTCCAACTGCTCCTGCAGAGAGCCTGCCCCCAGCACTGCTTAGCCCCAACCGGTTCAGTGTGGGACTGTTGAAAGGCAACAAGCCAGGCCAGCCCACTCAGAGGTAGCACCCACCTCCCCTCTGTCTTTAACCTGAGCACTGTCAGGACACAGCACAGGCTGGGGGCAGGAGCTGCTGTCATGGGGCAGTGCCCAGTGCAGAGGAAAATGGGAGATTCAAAGCACATGTACAACCCCACATACCCCGCCTCAGCCCTGCCCCTTAGGGATTAGAGTCACCATGCATGGGGGTAGTGCCACCTCAACCTGTGGGGGAAGGGGGGAGAGGTCCTTATCCCAGATGGAGCCAAGTGGAAGGAGTCAGTCCCAGAAGAACAGAAGGCTTAGGGATGATGGTGCCAGGAGCCAGGCAGGTCCTTTGACGCCATCATATGTCCCTCTTCTGCCTCCCCCCAGCAGCTCCTGCCTGCACTTCACAGCAGAGCTGCTGCCTCCAGGGTTTCCTGGATGATGGTGTCCATCACCATGTGGAATACGCCCTGCACACTGTGTGTGTCTGTGGCGGTGCTGAAGTGGTGGTAGATCAGTTTCTGGGGGGTCTCATTGCACGACAGGAAGAGGCTGGCGATAAATCGGGCTGCAGCACCCACATCACAGTCTGCACCTGCAGGAGAGCAGATGAGGGCAAGTGAGACGGAAAATCTCCACCGCTTGCCCATGTGCAGCACACCCACCACGCAAACTCCCATCCCCATAGCAGGCAGGAGAGAGCGCTCTCCCAGGGCAGGATAACAGGAGAGGGCCATCCCCAAGCAGGGGTGGGGTGGACAGCGCATGTGCCGCTGCTGCTGCTTTTAACCAAATGGCAGCCTTCCTGCCCTATCTGGTACAGAGGGAATCCACTTCTAGGAGCAATCCACTGACGGTCCTGGCCTAACCCTAACGGACGAGCCCATGTGGCTCACCGAGCCGAAATGCGCCAGCACAGGACACAGGCCCAGGAGCTCACCCTCCAGAGGGGCACAAGGAGGCTGCGGCTCAGCAATGGGGAAAGTGCAGTTTAAGGGGAGGCTGGAAAGGGGAAAGTGAGGCTGTTCCAGGTCTTGGGGCACAGCAGGCATGAGACAGGGGAGAGGCTCAGGCAGGATAGTCCCTGAGTGGGTGCAGGACGGCTGGGATGCAGGCAGGGCTTTAGTCAGAGTTGGAGGGAGGGGCAGGTCTGCCTTTATAAACCAGCCACCCAGTACTCAAGTGTGACACAATTTACTGCCATGGACACTCCTGGTGTCATGTCAGTCTGTGACATCACTGATTAGAATGGAGATGTCTCATCACGGGCAATGCTGGGAAAGGAACTTCAGATAGCAGGAACCTGGCAAAAGGTCAGGTGTCAGCGCAAGGCTTAATCCTGGCTGACCTCGGGGCCGGGTCACCCACTGCCTGCTCTGCAGCTCCAGGAGGGACATAAGGTTCTTTCTTCAGGGGAGAATTGGCTCCAATCAGTGGGAGCTGCACTTGCCACCCACCCAGCTCTCCCAAGGAGGAGAACGGAGTCGGGCAGTGTTTTGAGACCACCCCTCGACTCCCCAGCAAACCCTGCTCTCTGCTCCTAGCTCTTTATTTCAGCTGGGCTCAGCCAGCACCTTACACACCCTCTCCTTGTCACAGCCCTTGGTGGAGAGGCTGAATGAGCATGAAACGACCCCAGCTTCCCTGGTGTGGGCTGACTGCCATTTTGTATTCGGTGTTGAAGAACCAGCTGGCCTTGACGAGGTCCAGTCTATTACGCTGCAGTCCAGCCAGGAGCCTGGCTCAGGCAAGGTGCTGGACACATAGCTGAATGACTGACCGAGGAGCCATCAGAGCAATCTAGGACCATTAGCATGGATCGTCTCTCACTGCTGGTCCTAGCCATCTCGCAAGTAACTCTCTACAGATGCCTGACTGGAGGGGCAGGACTGGAGTTTCTCAGTCTGGGCACAGGGTTAAAGGGAGTAAGACTGTATTTTAAGAGAGGGTGCTCTCAGAGAAGTGGGGTCATCACACGCCAGAAGTCTGGGCTGGAGGGAGAGACAGAAGGCAAGAGGGATTCTGCCTGGCCTGACATGCAGACTTCGGACTCCCAGAAGGGATGAGCTCAGAGTAGGGGAGGGGGCGTCTGAGGACTGTTTGTCAGTTTGCAAAGATTCATAACTCTCGAGCACTTATAAGAGTAAAGTGACTGTGGATAAGAAATCCCCTTGCTAAGCTGTGTTCCTTGCCTTCCCACCATGCTGCCCCTGAAGGGGTTAAGCCAGAAGCCAGAGCATCCACAGCTAGGTGGAACTCTGGGCAGACTGTGAGAGTGACTAGGGCTCGAGAGGGATGAGGCTGTAGTTTTGGGGACTGGGGCACTGGGGTTGCAGAGCCCCATGACTTAAAGAAAAGCTCACCAGGAGTGTGCTCTAGAGACCCAGAGCTTCGGGCTTAAAGCCAGGTGGACTGGGTCCAAGTACAACAGATTAGTGACTGTCCAGAAGAGAGGGCTAAGCTGCGTTGCAACACCTGGATTTCGGTCCCAGCAAGAAGCACCCCTAGTAATGGTTCTGTCCCTTGGGACCACATGGCACCAACTACAGACCCCGAGAAAAGCCAAAGGGGCCCTCAGTGCAGATGTTCTCAAGGCACAGGTGTGGGCTGTGATGCTCCACAGGACACAAAAGCCTCAGCTCCTCGCCATCTTGTGGTTTCCCCTCCCTGAGCTGAGCAAGGCCATGCCCTGCAAGGTGAGGTTCCCGGGGGCTACGGCTGCGCAGTACACTGTAGGACTTGGCCCTAAGGAAACCATTCCCCACTGGTTTGCTCCAGCAGAGGGGATGAGGGTGTTATAGTAAAGCTAAGGATTCATAGGCCCCAGAGCTCAGCAGCGCCAGGTAAACTGTCCCCTGCCCTGTAACTGCTTTGCTACATGAACACATGGGACCCCAGCCCCCCAATTAGTGTGTCATGAGTGTGCATGCTGCCCTGTCAGACCCCAGAACAGGGAGGCTGCAACAAACCAAACTTCCTAACACTGACCACTCCGGCCATGCCAAGATCTCCTGCAAAATTCAGCAGCTGGAGAGGATCTTCCCTACGCTGAGGCTCTGGCTTGCTAATCTCAGCTCAGGCAGAGGAGCAGGAACTTAGAGACAAAATCCACTTGCAGACATTTCTTTTATAAAGACAAATCTGGAGAGGCAGGGAAGTCGTCTAAACCATTTGCCATCCTGCACCTGGCTCCCTACTGCTCACAACACCCACCGGGTCACAGAAGGGACCCCTGCTCATCTGCCAGTCTATGTGCTGCTCCTGCCCCTTGTGCAAACCCCGGAGAAGGAGCAGCACCATGCCCTGCCACCTCAGCTGCAAAGCATCCTTCTTGGTGAGCACCCAGGGACAGAGCGGGGTGGAGGGAGCCTACCTGTGTACTGAGGAAAGAAGAGACGCAGGTGCCTGCCCAGGCGCAGGATCTTCTCTTGGAGAAGGTCGATTTTATTCAGAAACAAGATCTGTGAAAAAAGCAGGATGATCAGAACCTACCCTGGCCCTACACTCCTGTTCCCCAAGTCACCTCCTTCCCTCCCGACCATGGCACTGCAGCATAGACCCCACCCACCCCCAATACCTAATCTGCAAGACGATGCTGAGATGGGTAAAGGGGACAGCTTTGCCTAGTCTCCGCTGAGAATCCTCACGTTGGGGGGAGGAGATTTAACATCTCTCCCTCCCACACCATCGTCCAGCCCAGCACTGCAGGCCAGTGGCAAACAGCAGCGATTTAGGGCTTGGTTCATGGTAGTCCCATGGCTCCTTTACTCTGCCAGAGCCAGACTCCGGGAGTTTGCCCAGTGCAGGGGGATTCCTTGGCTGGCTAAGTGCTGCTCCAGAAGGCAGCTGGGCGCAAGGTAGGGCAAATGCTGAGGCTGGTGCCAATACAGTGCAGCCCCACAGGCACCATGAAGCCACCTCTCCCATCGCCTGGGGTCCAGCACCAAACTCAGGCTGGGCGCAAGGCGTCTTAGTAAAGTTGGTCTGACAGTAGCACCTAGAAGCCACTGCCAAGATCAGAGCCCCTCATGCTGAGAGTGCTGCACAGACAGTGAGAGAGGGTCCCTGCCCCAAAGGGCTCCCAGCCTGAAGAGACAAGACAGGCACAGGGTCCCCTCCCTTCTCTGTGCACAGGGTCACCCAGCAAGCTAGTGGCAGAACCAGGAGCAGAACCCAGGACTCCTGAGGGCCCTGATAATGGGCCCTTAATCCTCACAGTCCCCTGGGAGGTAGGGGAGAGTTCACCCCATTGTATAAATGGGGCACAGGGAGAGCGAAGCGACTCACCAAGGTCATATGGTCAGTGGCAGAGATTCCCAGTCTCCTGCTTTAATCACTAGACTAGGCTCCTGCCTAGGCCAAATCCACCTGAGGCAGCCAGAGGGCCCTTGTGGGGAATAGAAGAGGTGGCCGGAGGTCCCAGTTCTGGGCCCAGTTATCCTGTCAGGAACTGGATTGATTGACCACCCCTGGCTTGAGCTGCAGGAACTCAGTGCTCATAAGGCAGATGCCACTGTTTAATCATCTCATTAGCAGAAATAA